TTCTGAATGGAAGTAGAATGCGTGCCGCTTCCCAGAAAGGGACTGATCAACGGTGAAGACTTTATCCTTTTCATTCATGTTGAGCAACAGCGCCAAATTCGCCCTGGCACCGATTTGAGGTCAACACTTTTCATCTACTGCGCTTTGAGCTTACATTTAGGGGCTGTTCATACACCTGATCACGAGTTCCTAATTCTGATTCTTCTCCCTAGCGTTAGTCCCGCACGGTCCGCTGATACACCTGATCACGATTCACTATTCAACACCGGCGCTAAAAATGGATGCCATATTTATGACCGTGCTTCTCGACGAGTCGCGAAACGAGGTCAACACTGGAGAAAAGACTGGCCAAATAGCACATTCCCTAAGAATGAATGTCGTGACGGTAATCAGACCCTGCAGCTTGAATATGGGCGAAAAACTCGGAATTCTCAGCTAGTAACACACAGTGACTCAAGGACCCCATTCTGCGCGTTTGTGCATTGTCAGCAATGCATGCGTCAAGCAAAACACTCAAATGGGAGTAGCAGTGAAATCGAGCGATGTTCAGTGTGTCAAACGCAGTCATATTGCCTAGTTACATACCTCTTTATACTCATCCTTGAGGTCCATAATCCAAAGCGTGTCAGCAGCGTCGACGATTGTCGCGGGCATCAAATTGCCACCAAATATCCCTTGGTTATTCGCCACACCGGTAAGCGGTCGAAGCTAAATCAAAGATAATATAGTCGAAAAACAGTGACTTTTCTTGAGGCTATCTCACTTCAGCCGCTCCCCAAGTATGATTCTTGTAGCCGTTCCATGCATGCAACATCATCTCCACCACTTTATTTTTTCGCCGTTCTGAAAATCGTTTGATTTGGACTGCGTCTCCATAGTTATGTAGTGCATTGTGGTACTACTCATAGTTGATCGGAGGTGCCAACTCTTCCCTCTCTCAACGAAAATTTCGTGAAAATTGGAGAATTTGAAAAAATTCGAGAACGCTGAGATGGCAGGTTGGCTGTGAAAGGAGATTGTACACATCTTATCAAAAATCTCCCACATGTCCTGATTTAAGGAGCTATGGCTAGAAGGTACAAAACGTGTAGCACACCAGTCAATAGCGAGCCCAAGAAAGCCACCGCCGAAGTTCCGTAACTTGCGGTCCTTGCATATGTTGGAAAAATCTAGCCACGAAAGATGATCGAAAAAGGGCAAGCATTGCATTATGGGCAACTGATCGGTCCGTGAGGAAATGGCTCCAGTGTTCTGCGAAAGCTGTTTGAGTGAACAGGCTGGGCTACGGGCACAGCATATACCCCACTATCTGAACAGAGTGTGGGCTAATGCAAGTGTTGCCTATAGTTTGAATTACATGTATGGGTGATCCCAATTGATGATCCACTAATCCTGAAACTCGCTCTCTCTCTCTTGAAACTCTAAATCTCTTGAAATTTTGTACAGCTGCAGGATTGGGTGCCAGCACATGGAATTGAAGGGCGTTGGAGAAACTCTCGCCTACTTGGCAATCGAATGGCTGTTGAGTACCTGAAGAGGACGGAACATAGAAGTGAGCCACCTTATAGAAGTGAGCCACCTGACCTAAGCCCCTTCGATTACCGGGTTCGGGTGGAGCTCGACAGGGTGCGCCTACAGCTCGCAGAAGCTCAACGATCTCGCTGAACTCTGAGGCCACGGGGGTCACGGGTTTCGCGTGCAGAATCTCACAATGGCGTTCGTCAAGAAGGCTGTGGTGGAGTATGTTGATAGTGTACAATGTGTTGTTAACTTGATGGTGGATGGAAACGTCCAATCAACATTCAATAAGGTGTAACTTATAGCACCTTGAAAGTCGAGCGCAAGAAAAGTGTCTTTTTTATTGCCCCCCCCTGTACTTGCCTCCAGCTTGGAACCGCTGGTCCACGTTGCGCGATATGTGACAAAAGAATCGTAATTCGCCGTGCTGATAGGCGCCGCTTGCGACGTCGCTTCCGTAAATGACGATGGTGCCAGATTGTAGAAGGCAACAACAGGCAATATAGAACCGAGACAATGTCATAATGTTGACACTCATGCGCCAGCCCACGTGAAATAAGGTGCATCCACTCGACACGCTAACACCAACATGAAGAAAACGACCGCGCCCATCGCTGTGCGCGGCGTAGTGGCGAACTTACGATTCCACTTGCCCCGACCAATCCACGATCAGTAGAAATTGGTTTACGAATACGTCTACCGTTCACATTGCTGTGGATTCATAAGACCGTATATTCATCCCATTGCGTTGGGTTGACTCATAAGTAAAGGCGTTTTTCACTTACACTGATTTTATAGAAAACGAGAATGGTTACCACTGTGTTCTATGCGGCTCAATCGATAATATTCCGGTCAATTAGCTGGTACGGGGACCTTCCTACTACTTCTTGATTTCTGTCTATTTTTGTTCCATTGAAACGGAGTGTGGGGCCGGCCACAAAGTGATCCAGCTAATGAGTTTTTGACAAACAACTTTGTTCTTTAACAATCGGCTGCCGGCTAACGCGCGGGCGCGCCTCCTTCTGATACAGCCCGGCTGCGCCGGACGAGCGCGGCTTCGCCGCCTGTAGTCCACTTTTTTCCGGTGTCTGAAGTACTCTTGAGCTATTTTACAGATTCTTCGTCTGACTCCGCCCACCTCGGAGCAGGCTCCGCCCACAATGTTTTTGCCCCACAATCCTCACCGGCGACCCTCTGCTGACCTTAATCCACTTTTTCCGGCTCTTCGGAGTGCTCTGGAACCGTTTTACAGACCTTTTGTCTGGCTCCGCCCACCTCGGAGCAGGCTCCGCCACAATTTTGCCCCACAATCTTAACCGACGACCCTCTGCTGAACTTAATCCACTTTTTTTCCGGTATCTGGAGTGTTCTGGAACCGAGCTACAAACTTTTAAAATGAATACCCTGCGATTTAGGGCAAGCTCCGCCCACTGTGGGCGGGTCTCAACACACTTTGAGCGTGCCCTATATTCGCCGGATATTTACATTCTACACTGAGTTTTTTGCGACTTCCAAACACTCTCGCGAACCGGGTTACTGAATTTTGCGAGAAGCACCGCCCACCTTGAGTACCCCGCCCATTTAGGGTGTACCTGCCACAGTTAGTCTGGCGACTCCTTACTAACCTTAGTCCCTTTTTCCCCATCTTTAAGCTGCTCCGGAAGCGAATTATGAACATTTTTCTGCGGAACCCCAAACTTTCGGCGAGTGCCCCGCCCACTGTGGGCGGGGCTTCCATAGGTGAAGTTTGCTTTTATCTTGCTACCATGCCCTACCCTAATCGCCTACCTTGACGGGACCTCTCCAGTCTCTTCATGGTCCAAACGAATTCCCGGACAGACAACTTGACACACCTAACTACAAACAAACAACAAACATACAAAGCGAATAACATATATGGGATGATCGGACAAAACAGCTTAACACTTGCGGCACAAATATGGCCAAGAAAAGATGCTTTTATGACAGCTTGAAGTTGGTTCAAGCCGTCAACAGATGAGAATTCGGACTTTACAAATGTGCATCGCATGAGAGGCCCTCTTGAGGAGTGACTGATCAGAACCTACTACCTATCGAACGTCATCTAACATCAACGGGGGGGGGTGCTCGATAATGGTAAGGAAGCATTGCATGTCCAGCAACGCCCACTCCTCGCATGAATCAAGCGAGACGTCGAATCGAGTCGTCGAACGTCGAAAGTTACCGCTGAACTACTACGACTGATGACTATGCTAATCCTCGCTTATGCTTCACAGCTCACCACCAAGCTTCCACCCTACTGTTGCTTCCCCCCCCCAGTTGCTTCTGAGAATGCAGGTTGCAGTTTTGCTATCTATATTTGTAAATAACCTTATAGACTCTATCGATCTACCCAGGTCTCCATTCAAAGTTCCATGGTAAGTTGGCGGACTTCCCTGGTTAGTCAGAATATCGCACTCTTTTGACACGAGAATGATTGGAAGGAGCACTATAGACGCGCTAAGCAAAAAGGAAGACAAATTAATTGTGTAAAAGAGAACAAGGCCAACAGGAAACTATCCGTTGTTCCAGCGCATAGGTCGCCCAAACTCATCAGGAACTGCTTACAATTACTTTTACAGGACACTGTAGGAGAGCAGATCTAATACTGGAAGTCATGCCTTACTACAAAAAAGGCAAAAAAAACATAGAATCGAACCGACGATTTGGAAGGGGCAAGGCCTACTCTGCACCATGATTACACGAATTGACTTTCTCATCGTACAGCACATATAAATGCCCCATGCGATAGAAACCGAGAAATTCCAGGTAAAAACACTCGTAACTCCATTCAGTGGATCTTTCCCTATTGCTATGTAGCTGGTTCGAGCTAAGCGTCTCAGTACGTCCACTCTGGTCTACAATTTTTCCTGAGCGGTCATGGTGACCTGTTACCCTTCCCTTGTGGAGGCTGCAAAGGGAGTTTCAAGAGAAAACCCTGACCATGCTTCAGTTTTCCCCAACTGTGAGTTTGATCTACAAATGGCACACTATCGCGTTGTGGAAAACGTTTTAGCAAATACGTTCTTACCCCAACTGTTCCCTTCTTTCTACTCATCATGTCCTACTGTCCATATCCAGTGGTGAGATTCCATGGCTGCGTGCTTCATTTCAAAGCACTTTCCGCGATAAAGTAGGGCTATGAGCTTTAAAATGCGTCAGATGATCTGGAAGGCGATTCTGGAAAGTGTGCTACCCTCACAAAATGGAAT